CATTAATTTTTGCTGTTAATCATAGATCAAGACCTTGTGAGAGAAAAAGTAAGTTCTTTAAGCTCTTGGTGTTATTCCGGAATAGCTTCTACTGATAGCTCGGTAAGTATTTTATTCTAGCATTTTCTAAACATATTTTTATCTGATTTTTCAATTCACACACGTTAAAATTTTTCTATCAAAATAGGTCTGGATTTTTGGAGGTACCTTTATGAAAAATTATTATGTAAGTATTTTTCTATATTAATAATTGTATCGATTTGATTTATAGTATGTTCATTATTAATTGTTTGTATGTTTTAAAGGTGATATTTGATCGCGAAAAAGATCGAGTTGGATTCGCTACACCTGTTTATGCTTACTAATTAGATTAGACTTGTTAAAATTATTTAGTTTTTTTTTTTTGTACCATGTTATATCGGTTTCCTGTCTTATAATAGAATTTTGATTTTCTACCATTTAGCGGTAAAATTAATAATATAATATAGGCGCTAATAATAATTAACCATTAATAATCGTCCTATTTTAAAATTTTTTAATATCAAAGTATTGTTTAGAATAAATGGTTCTTAAATTGGTTTAATTTGTGTGCTGTTTTGACTTTTCCTCAGAACGTGAATATTCGCATATAATATGAGTGCACACTTGCTCCTAGATGTATGTGTGAGTGCAATTGATATCCTAAATTTAGTAAGTCAGTGATATTTAACTTTGATAAATAGAGTTGTTGATTTTAAAGGCAAAAGGTGTCCTTTATACGATTAAGAAAGAAAGAAAGAAGGAATTAAAGAAAGCAAAAAGGATGAAAAGTGCGCTTTATATATAATGTAAGAGTTGGAGATGCATCGTGTCAATACTATAATTTATGTATGGCCGATCACTATTAAGGATTATTAAGGATTATTAAGGATTATTAAGGATTATTAAGGATTATTAAGGATTATTAAGGATTATTAAGAGTGGTTGATAGACATGTAATACTTCGTATTTGTGCTTAAGTTTTGTTTACTATGTAGTAAGTGTCTATGCTGACGCTAAATATATAATTTATCCGAATATATGTACATAAGGACTAATTTTGATTGTGATCTAAATGGCAGAACCGATTACTTTTAATTCTGGTCAAATTTGAGATCATTTGGCCGAATCCGGGGTCAAAAAACTCTGAACTTGGCCAAACGATCTGCAAATTTGACCAGAATGATAAATAATCGGTTCTGCTATTTAGATCACAATCAAAATTAGCCCTAAAATGATAAGTATAATATATATTTATTAGTTTGTAAAAAATTTAATGTAATAAAATTTTGTTCATTACTTCGTTTTGTTAATATGGATTAATAGCTTTAAACGAGTACGTAAGTACATACTAACGAACTTGGCAAGCATAAAATAATTTAGCATATTACCTTGGTATGCCCATAGTACTGTAGTACGCTGTAAGTTAATAAATTCTTTTTTCTAAAATATTAATTTTTGTCCAATCAGATTATATATATTAACATACCCGTAGCCAGGAATGTATCCAAAACCTCTTTTGATATATCTAATAATTAAAAAATTTTGGTTAAGAAAACATAATTATATTTTTTTAAATGTTTTTACTTAGAAAATTAAAATAGATTAATAAAATTTCAAGTGATTTAATATTTAAAACAATGTCCAAAATTTTTCAAAACTGTCCCGTGACAACCTTGCTCGTGGCCGTCATGCCATGTTCTTTAGGACGCACGCACTCACACATTTTCCACGCATGAAAATTTGGTTTAGTAATTGAAGGAATGTCATGTGTTCAGAATATCAGGAGTGTTAATGTTTACACATCGGAATCAGCCGGACGACATTCAAAAATGCTGTAATAATTTCTGCCAAGGCACACACATATATCGTCTAAATTTTCCAAGTGCTAAGATATAATAAAAAATCATAAGTAACCTCTGAATTCTTCAAATTCTGTATGTCTGTAAGACTCAAATTACATTTAAGTTGTCGAGATGAAATACTTTTAAGTTCGAGCAAAGATATCAGTATAGATCTAGACAATTTTGATGTTTTCCGACTATTTTGAACTCTACATTCATAATTAAAAATATTTAAAAAAACCTAGATGATTTATATATTTTTGGAGCTGATTTTTATATCACATATCGATATCTTAAGTATCGTGTTAATTGTGACGTGAATTCTTAAAAGTTAATAAACTGGATTCAGTTACAAAATACGTAATACTTAAGTAGATTTTCACTTTCATTACGTATATTTATGGAAAATTTGATTTCAAAAACGGGATTGTAAATCAAGATACTGTAGCCACAAAATAATTATCGTGCAAAAAATTATTTTCTGATTGGTTATTCAAATTGTTTACTAGTTTATTCATTTTATACATTACGGCGTATTTGTGTGATTAGACTACTGTATAAAATGCATCATTTATTATTTCTTTTTGACATTTCTTATTGAAAGTCGTATAGATAATATTTAACTCATCTTTTCACAGGAATATGGGTTGTTATCTATATGACTTTCCAATAAGAAGTTCAAAAAAAAAATCGAGGTGTCTTATTGTTAAGAGTCATTCCACCCAATATTGTATGCACGTACGTACGTACGTTTTTTTTCGAGATCCATACTCATACGTGTTTTACAAAAGATACATATTAATTTCTAACCATTTTATTAAGATTTCCAAACAGTTGTCATAATAAAATTTTAAGTAAACTAATAAACAAGTTGCCTGTGACAATACTGCACACCTAATATTTATACATGATAATATAACGTGATAATCGAATTGCTCTTACCCATCTGTAAATTATTAGGTGATAAAAGGCATGTTCTAGATGAGCAAAAACTTATTCTTCGGGTAAAAATACACCTATCCGTTCATTAAGTTACTAATAATCTAGTTGCTAAGAAATTATTCAAATTTTCCAGAATCGTCTTTTGTTACTAAAGCCGTAACACTTAATATCGTGTGATAATATCAATATTATCATCACACTGATACATTATGACTCACTCACTTATTAATTTGGTAATAATTTCGGGGAATTTATTTTCCGAATTTATCATACGTATTCCCATGAATACGTAATTGTATTCGTCATCACTTACGCAATGTAAAATGTGTGGTATTTATAACAATGAATAATACGTATTCATTAATAAGTTAAATACGTGAGCGCTTACGAGTGCTAAACGTTAGCAAACTGCGTAATCAAGAATTTTTTGATGATCTTATGAAATGAAAAATATAAAATAGCTATAAAACATCGGTTTCTCTCGGTAGAAACAGATATTTAATTTATATTCCCTTATTTGATATCGTTACGTATTAATTATTGACCGTATATATATATCGACATTCAGTTGTAATAAATCCCAATAAATTTAACTAATGGCGAACGTCAAAGTTTTATATGGTACAATAATTCGCCGTTTCACAATTCCAAGCGATATTACTTGGTCGTTATTTGAATCCCAGATTCGCTCCCTCTTCCAAATTCCTCCGAAAACTCCTATCTTTCTCTCATATACCGATGAAGATGGTGATATCATCACTCTATCGAGCGATTTGGAGCTTCAAGAAATACTTTCTGACCAAACTTTGTTCGGTTCTTCTGTAAAATTCGTTTTGTCTACTCCTGATGAACTTGTCCCTAATGAAAAAAATAGTTGGGTGTTAGAAGGAAGTCCTTCGCAAATAAAGGAGGATGAATCACCTAAATTTACAAATGATAGTGATGTGATTAGTTTCAGTTCTTCCGATGAGGAAGATGGCTCAGAAGCTTCTCCAATAAATGTGCATGAATCCCAAGAACAAAGTTCAAATGAATCTCAACAACCATTTATGTTCATCGAATCTCAAAAGAATCAGGATTACAAACATACGACAGTCGTTGATAAAGAAACTGAAGAACCAACTTTTAAACCAACTATAGTTGGTCAACAACCTGAAACTATCGGTGAATCGTCATCTTCACCTGTCGTCGACAAAGGAAAATCCAAAGAATTACCTAAAAAAGAAGAGAAACAACCTGAATCTGATCGTGATCAACCAATTGATGATAACAATAAAGAAAATGAATCAGATCAATCAACTAATAATAACAATAAAGAAAATGAATCAGATCAACCAACTAATAATAACAATAAAGAAAATGAATCAGATCAACCAACTAATAATAACAATAAAGAAAATGAACCAGATCAACCAACTGACGATAACGATGAAGAAAACATATTTTGGATTTACCACGACTGTCCTCATTGTGACGCACGATTCAACAATTATAATGATCATATTTCATATTGTCATCACTCATTCGGTACGCGTAGGCATTGCCCAGCAGCAATAGCACTTTATAATGTCTCGAAATTTTTATTCAAATTCATAGAATTTGTATTCTCATTAGCAATCTCTCTTTACAAATTCATAAATTTTTTATTATTAGCATCACTAGTAATGATAATTTCTACATACTTTTTTACAACTTATCCATTATTGAAATTTTTGATTGTAGTGTTTGCATTCAAGTATTTCCTTTTCCACAACAATAATCACAGAGAAAGATTTTGCCGTGGATGTCGATTTGGTAAATGGCATAGTAGACAATCCAACAGGAGAAATCAATGTTATCAACGAAGGGAATGTGATGGAAATATCAATGAAGAAATTGTTGCTGAAAAGGTAAAACTTTTAAGAGATATGGGTTTTGAAGGTGAAAATTTAGAAGAGTTGATAAATTTATATAATGGAAATATGGAATTTGCTGTTGAAACTTTACTACAACGGCAACAATTATCTTCATGAAAACTCTGAAAATTTAGTTCATACTTTGTTAAAATATCGTACAAGTTAAATCATTGGGATTTTATTTATTTATTTATTCTTTCTTTAACAAAGCTTCAATTCATATTTATTTATCGTGAAGTTGATCCGTATAATGAGAATCATAGACAACTACACGATTAACTTTTCTTGGTTGCAAATAATGATTCATTAATTCGAGGCCTCTGTTCTCTAATTAATTGAGTGCATAAAACCAAGGAAATATTTATAGACATTTTTTTTTTTTTATAAATATCATTTTCAATTCATTCATAGTCTTTTTAACAAATCAATATTTTAACATTTATCGATATTTCTAAGTTTTGGTGTAAATAATTTTTGGAATATTTGAAGTTATCATTAAGTTCCTTTGTAATAAGTTAACTTATTCCAATTCATTAATAAAGATATAAGCATTAACTTATTTATTTATACACCTTTGTCTAGCACGGTTCATATAAAACAAATTTATTAACAAGAGAATTTCAAATTTCAAATTCAACGATATATAAATTTATTAATAAATAACAATGTACCAAAAAATTATATACCTCTATCTAAACTCTATCAGAATGAAAGTGTGTCATCTTTAACGGTAACAAACTCATCTGACAAGAGTAGATATCAGCAATCTTAGTAATATCTTAAGAAAACTAGAAATAATTTACGTATGGAACATACATAAAACTTATGGTTAGATAGCTAATTCAGACCACAATTTACACCTAGGTGGTTTATTCCCGAAGATTGCTTACTCGCTTGACTATAGCAATAAATTAGATTTCATTAATATACGGTTTGTATCTGGAAATCGTAATCTTATGGTTCTAATGCTTTAATATTGTGGATCCATAGTATTATCATATTCCTCTAAAGGTCCAACTATAGAAAGAAAAATCTTTTTTATTTGACACTTTAATACAATAAAGGCATCAAATAACAAATGAAATCGTTATATATACTTTGAATCAGTTTCACGTTACAGTAGTTTGCAGCTATCGAATAATCATACGTGTAAAGGGGTAAAAAGGTAGATTTTGACTCAAAACAGGGCATAGTTATCTACAAAAAAGTATTAGGTTGAAAGTATTTAAATAATATTAAGGGTAGATCATTTTTATATGAACTACATGGTTTTTTAAAATTTACTATAAGATTGAAAGCAGGTAGAAAAACACTCTTTCCAACGATTATTCATATCTAATTTTTTTTTTTTTGGGTTTAAGGTGACTTCTTGGTTGCTGTCCTTTTATTCGATTATTGTTAACTTTTACAGTATGGTATACATATTTGGAGAGTACAACTAGCCATATATACAACTTTTGGTTGTTTATTTAAGTAGTCTGCGTATCAGTATTACACTGTAGGGACTACACTATTTGTCATACCTATAACCTGATAGGGTGTTATCTATTTAAACCCTCTATGTTTATGTATATTAATTTTCTAACTGAGCAAGAATATATTAGTATCCCTTATTTTCAGGTTTCAGATTTAGGATTTTAAGGCAGGCTCATATCATATAAGAAGTCTTTTGTTTTTAAGATAAACTTGCTAGAGCTTTTCATACTTACAATCTGGCTAATCTAGGTTTTAGTAACTTATGTTGAGTTCGAGAACAAGTACTTTTAAGCTGAAGCTATTACTGTTATCTACTTCTGCCCTTGTAAAGTTCACTCAAATCCAGTATACACTTTATAAATTATTTATCATATTACTAATTACTTAAATTTTCAATTCAGATAGCCCAGAAGAGCTGTAACCTGCTTCTGGTTCCTACAGTTGGGTTCTTTTCATCTAGTACACCTTCAGCAGCCTGGTTGGTGAAGTGCTTTGCCAAACACTTTGGTCTTGTTTAGTTTTTCAATTTTTCAGTTGATGATCTTTTATGTAGTACCGTCAAAGATCTGTATTATCTCTCTACTTGAGATTTGCCAAATGGGTTTCTGTGTGTTTTGATTCTTGAATATATCTAGATGTTTCATTTAGATTTTGTATAATTCTTATATCACACTAATGTTCTATATCCTCCTAGTACAAGCTGATACAACCAAGGTTACAAGTGCTTACCCATTAGATTATACACAGTCTGCTATAACATATTTTGTAAAATTCAAATTTCATTATTGGTGGGATTCGAACTTTTGTCCTGACATTTGGAGATGCAACAACTTATCAATTTCACTAAGTTATCACATTCTACTTATATCTAATTTATGATTAATAAAAACAGAAACTTGTTAAAAAAAGTAAAAAAGACAACTATATAAGTAATAGTTTTTACAAAGGTCAAGGTTCTCTATAGTCTTTTTGTTTTCTGAATTTCTCTGTATATTTAGCATGTTAAAGTGTTTCTGTACAAGATAACTAGCAAAGAGGTAGTATTCTTGTATAGAAAATTTTAATATAAGTATAAGTTATAAGTTTTTGTTGATAAAGTGAAAAAATAGTTGGTTTAAAAGAAAAACAACAAGCAAGTTTTTAATGCATTCTCTATTAAAGTTTAAGATTACATGCAAACTAAAATCTTATTTAATATTTTACTTTTTGTATTTTATAAAATTTTATCAAACAGCAGAAAATCTAGTATACTCTTATCAAAGAATTAATACCAATATTACTATTAAGGGTGTGGTAATTGAAGTAGTAAAGTTGTTACATTTTTAAATAGTTAAATACAAATTCAATTCTTATGGAGAATAAAAATTAAATTTGAAAAAATAGATTTGGTAATTATTATTGTGACTAAGAAAACTTGAGACCCTGTAACTGCAGTTATATCAACTAATAGTTATATCAGAATTAGGAAATCTTTGAAAATTTGTATGATTAGTATAACTGAATGAGAACTAAGTATTTGACAAAAGTATTCTACTAACCGACTGCTGAAGCATCGATTAAAATAAAAGAATTAACAGATACCAAGAGACTAAGGGAGCTTCTAGAAATCAGCTGATTTAAGGATAGATGGGTAGGTTAACTGGAATGTCAGATGTAATTTTAGTCAAAATTATCAAGTTCTGACTAAAATTTAGAAAAATTTTTAATTTAAATTATAAATTTATTAATAAAATTTAATAATTAATAGCTTTTGATCTACTAAATCAAATTGAATAATTTAACTACCAAAATAATCTTTTTAATAAGAGAATTCAACAAGTTTAAAATATTAAATCTAATCACTAGATTATAAAATTAATATAGATTTGTATTCCTATAAATATTATATAATTTATTTAAGGTATTGCTATTTGCACTATAGTTTTTGCTATTTATACTATTAGAGATCTTCTTTAGTATAGGTAGGTATATATAAATTATTACAAGATTATAATATATAAAACCTAACTAATTTGAGCTATTTTAAACTCTAACCTTAACTCTGATTCTAATAATTTATAAAATTATTTAAATTAGTTTAAAATAATTAAGTTATATATATTATAATTAAATAATAATTATATATGCCCACTTATACTAAAGATCAACCTCAGCAGATTTTTAAAAGCCTTCTAATGTTTCTTCTAGGTTATTTAGATTAGTAGCTTGAAAAAACTAACTAGAGGATATCAAAAGTGAAAGGTATTAGATAAACTTGAAAGAGAGTATTAGGTTTAGATAAATTTTACAAATGCAGAAGTAGGTTGTATAGTAGCAATTAGGCTATAATAGAGTTAAAATATTAAAAAAAACTGATAAGAACAAAACATAGCAATTATAGAAAATAGAATGTAGTGATTTAGTGTAGTGGTGAAGTTGTTGCACCTCTAAATGGCAGCAATTAGAGTTCAAATCCTGCTGACAGCGAAAATTCGAATTTCAGAATATGTTATAGCAGACTGTAAGTGTAATCAAACAGATTGGTATTGGTATCTGTAATCTGGTTGTATCAGTTGTACTGGAAGGTTGTAGAATATACAAGTTATACAAAACCCAAGTGAAACAGCTGTGTAAATTTAGAGTCAGCGCATACAGGAGCTCACTTGGCAAGATCTAAGTAGAGAGGTAATACAGATCTTTGATGATACTATGTAAAGGATTATCAACTAGGAAGCCGAAAAACGAATGAGACTGAAGTGTTTGGCAAAGCACTCTACCAACATGGCCACTGGAGAGTAACCAGAAAAAAAAAGAACCCAACTGTGAGGACCAAAGGCAGGTCACAGCCCTTCTGGGCTATCTGAATTAGAAGCTTGGGATGCTGAGTGTATAGGAGATAGTTTGTATAGTAGATGCTGGGTCTGGGTGAACTCTATAAGAACATAGTAGATAATGATAGCAGCTTTGACTCACAAGTACTTGTTCTTGGACTCAGCGTAAGTTACCGAAAGTCTAGGTTAGCTGAATTTGTAAATATAGAAGGCTCTAGCAGGTTTACCTTGAGAATAAAGGGTTCAATAGGAGCCTGCTTTAAAGTTCTAAGTCAGATGTCTGAAAATAATGGTGTATTACGTATTCTCGCTTGATTAGATGATTAATATACATAGGTGCAGAGAGTTTAAATAGATAACTCAGTAAAATTATAGGTACAGCAGCTAGTATAGAACCTTCAGATATTAAGGGGTGTGGCAACTTAGTGAAGTGATCAGGTTGTCACACCCCCAAGTGGCAGGACAAGAGTTTGAATCCCACTGGCGATGAAATTTGAATTTTACAGAATGTGTTACAGCAGACTGTGTGTAAAC